TCTTTTATGATAGTTTGACAGTTAAAGAAACCTAGGTTAGGCTGGGGAGATAGCTCAGCAGCATAAGCCCTGCCTGGCAAACACAAGGTTCCTGGTACCACGGGGGGTGGGGGGGGAATCTAGATTAATAATCATTTTCTTTCGAAGTTTAAAGATACAGCCACAATGTTTTCTATCTTCTAATTTTGTGTTGAAATTTTATTCAAATTCTTGTTCTTTTTTAAATTTTATTTTCTTTTTGACATATTTTAGTTTAGTTTTTTTTTTTTTTTTGTGGTACCAAGGATTGAACTCAGGACCTTGCACTTGCCTGGCCCCTTAACGTATTTTAAGATCTCCTTATTTTCTCTAGTATTTTTTGGGGAGGTCAGGGGATTGAACACAGATTTCACAAGGTCACTACACACTGTGAAAGATAGGTTTTGTTTGAGACAAGGTCTCACTATGCAGTTCAGGTTGGCCTTGGACTCACTGTGTAGCCCAGGCTGGCCTCAAACTTGCGATCCCCCTGCCTCAGCCTCCTGAGTGCTGGGGTCGCAGATTACAGGCATGCAACTCAAAAGATGAGTTTTGATGTGATTATTTTTTCTTTCACTATTCTGGACACATAACACACCCTCTAATCTGCAAAGTCTCAATTCAGGAAATTTCCTGTATTTCTGTCTATTTTTTGATACCAGGATTGAACTAAGACCTTGCGCTTGCCAGGCAGACACTGTGCCACTGAGCTATCTGCCTAACCCTTGTATTTCTTTTATAATTGATCACATCCGCACATACTTTATCTCTCTTTACCTCACATATCCTGCTTACTCCTTTTAGATCCTTTATTAATTAGACATTGGACTATTTGGCTTGATCTTCTAACTTTATTTCCTGCCTCCGGCTCTACTGGTGCTTACTCTGGTACTCTTGTTCCTTGCTGTGTGCAATTTTGGACCACAATTTATTTCTGTTGGCACTGTCTCTATGGAAATTCCCCAAGGCCTAGATCAAAGATGAATGCATCCCAGGAGGATTCACAGTGCTTCTGTTGGGTCTTTAGTGCTACTGCCAACCCTGCAAAACTTTCAATTCTTAGCATTTTGTTTTAGGGAGAAGAAAAGATTTTCAAAGCCCCTCCCAAAAGAATAAAAAACAAATAATTCAGGCGGATTAAAACGTAGCGTGGAGTTATAAATTCTCTGCAAATATTTAAAATAAAAAATGGAGGAAGTCCACTAGATATCTGATTCCCAAATAATAATCTACAATACATTTCTTTAGAGGTAGTGTGGGTGCCAGAATATTTTTAATCCACTTTTACATGATGATATAGTCTTTTAGGATTCTAGTTCTGTGGTAGGGTCTATTAGCTCTCCCCCATTTCTTTGAGACAGACTGTGTAGTTCAGGCTAGCCTTGAACTCACTATGTAGTTCTCACCGGCCTCATTTGCGGTGATCCTCTAACTTCAGCCTCCCATGTTGGCATTACAGGAATGAGCTACCATACCTGGATAGAGTTCCTACCTTGAGGAAGCCCTAGGCTTTATCTCTGGATTGAGGGCTCTTTTTTTTTTTTTTTTTTTTTTGCGGAACCGGGGATTGAACTCAGGCCCTTGCGCTTGCCAGGGAAGCGCATATTCCACTGAGCCATCTCCCCGGCCCCTAGGCTTTATCTCTTATACCACAGTAGCACCCTGTGGAGGCCACAATGCTCAAATTCAATTTTTTTTTTTTTTGGTTTGATACTGCTTTCACTTACCTATTGGTCTTCAGCTAGTGTTTACTTTTTTGTCAGTTCATAACTACATCTTTAAAAGGTCCTACTCCTGTAATCACAGCCCTTAGGAGGCTGAGGCAAGAGGATCATTGAATGAGGTCAACCTGGTGAGACCCTGTCACAAAATACGAAACTAAACAAAATATGCCCTTTTAGGTAAAGGACCTAGAACAGATAACTTTTATTTATTTATTTATTTATTTAAGTTTATTTAGTGTGTGTGTGTGTGTGTGTGTGGCCAGCTCAGCCCACCAGGGGGCAGGGCTGGTTGGCATGTGGTGCTGGGGGATCAAACCGCGGTCCCTGTGCTTTGCTACGCTTGTTCTAAGTAGGTGCTTTAGACCACTGAGCCATCTCACCAGCCCCCAGATAAAACTTTTAAAAACGTACTTTCAGTTGGCAAATGACTAAACAATGTCCATACTACGGAATACAATGTTACTCAGCAATGGAAACTATTGATACAATAACCTGGATGAATCTCCAGGGGCTCCCCTACCTGGGACTTGGGCTTGAACCTAGGACCTTCCTACTGTGCTACATCCTCAGCAGTGTTCATTTATTTAGAGACAAGGTCTCACTAAATTGAAGTTGTTCAGTAGCTTTAAAGTTGTGACACCCTGCCCTAGCCTCCTAGAGAGGTGAGACTTTCTGTAGGTGTGAGCCACCCACCTGGCTTTCATCAGCATTATGTTGAGTGAAAAAAAAAATAGATTACAGGCCATATGATTTACATAATGCAAAATAAAGCTACAGACAGGGAGAGAAATTAGCATTGCTCAGGGCTAAAGCCAAGGTTGGGATGCCCACAGACAGTAGCACAAGGGAGCCCTGAGGTAAGGTAATAGTTGTGTAATCTGATTGTGGTGATAAGTTCACACTTATCTACTCATGTGACATTATTGCACGAAACTGCATATGCAAACACAAATGTAAAACTGGTAAGTTCAAAGGGCGAGCCAGATAGCTAACCCTTGTATTTATTTTATTTTATTTATTTATTTATTTATTTATTTATTTATTTTTTCCCTTGTATTTATTTTATAAGAAATACAGCTTAGGCAGAGCACAGGAACCCGGGTTAGATCCCCCAGCATGCTGTGCCAGGGCTGCTCCCAGGGCTCGCTGAGAGGGAAAAGGAGACAGACTGAGACAAGGCCTGGTGGCATGTGCCTGTAATCCCAGCGTTTGGGAGGCTGAAAACAGGTGGATCACTATGAGTCCGATCTACGCAGTGAGACCCTGTAGACCCTGTACTAAATACAAAAACAAACAAACCCCAAAACCTGGCGTGTTTCAGATAAACTATTGCATCAATATGGATTTCCTGGTTTGATGTTTCCTTGTATTTATACAAAATATTACCACTGGGGAGTAGAGTAAATGGTGTAGAAGAACCTTCTTGAACTTTCTGCCACTTCATGTGAATCTCTAATAATTTGAAAATAAAAATGCTTTACAAATACTTTCATTTTCAAAAACTCAGCAATTAAAAATGTTTCCAGGGTAGAACTGCTGGTAACACTTAGGTGTTGACACTGCCCTCCCATGCATGTTGTCATCAAGGGCTTAGGAGTTGTTTTCAATTTTTACAGATTGTCATTTGGACATGGTTGCAGGAGGAGGATGGAAAAAACACATGATCAGTATAGCGTGTTAGTAAGAGCACTGTTTTAAGGATTTTCGGCAAGGTTGTGATATTTGAGTAGATCATCGCGTTGGCTTCTTAGGGATATGAGGAGGAGCAGGACTGGAAGCCATTATACTTAATTGATTCTAAAGGCACCTTTCCCCCACTCTTTGGACATTTTAACATCTCCCAAATTGGATGGTTCACTGCAAGTATTAGTCAGCAGTCATACTGGATTTGTCATAGCTGCTCATGAGCATCAAAACTTGCCAAATGGGTGACTGAGGCTTGGAAGAAAATTCCAGACACAGAAGAGGAACACTCTTCGGAAATGCTGTATCATCAAAGCCTTTGATGGCATACACAGGACCGCAGCATGTGGACCTCGGACATCCGAAACTGGAAAGAAAGTCCCTCCAAAAGGAATCATTAAGAATCAGTCTGGGGGCTGGAGAGATGGCTCAGTGGTCTAAAGCACCTACTTGGAACAAGCTTGGCTAAAACACAGGGACCGCGGTTCAATCCCCAGCACCACATGCCAACCAGCCCCGCCCCCTGGTGGGCTGAGCTGGCTGCGCGCGCGCGCGCACACACACACACACAATAAATAAATGTTAAAAAAAATTAAAAAAAAAAAGAATCAGTCTCTGAATATGAAACCGTGCAAACACTGTTTGTATGTAATTCTTTTCTATTTTCCTTTTTATGTATGTATGCACAAGAGTGAAATGGTAAAAATTTATACGCCTGTAAACCTATGCTTTCAATAGATGTAAAAGAAAAACTCTGAAGTGGTAAGAAAGTGGTCACAGTTTGTAACTTTTTAAAAACAAGGCATAAATAACGGTGCGTTTCACAACTGATGATCGGAAAAGAGATAATAGGGAGGAGAGGGAAGAAAATTCTTAAGTATTAGGAAGAAAAAAAATCAACTTGACTTGGTGAATTCTTGAGGGAAAGGTAAGGAAGTGGGAGGAAATCTAAGGTGGCGTCCTGATTTAGGGACAAGAGGAGTGGGACTACAGAATTCATTTAGGATGGGTTGTGCTGAAAGACGTGTGTAGACGAAGCCTTCACACTAGCTTTAGTAGGTCGGACGAAGGCCCGCACCTGGACCTGGGGGCGGGTGACGGCTCGGTACAGTGGGTTGCGCGTTCTCTGGGGTGTCTGCCAGTTGCGGGGAAATGGGTGGGGTCTGCACAGCGTCCGGCCACGGGAGCGGCGTGATTGGCTGGAGCCGCCAGCGGTGGGCGTGCCTGAAAGCGGGGACTGTCCATCAATTGGCTAAGAGGCACCAAAAAGGCCTAACTCAACTGTGGAGCCCGCCCCCGAGAGGGCTGGTCCGTTATCACCCTGCCCCGCCCCCGAGCTAGCCAGGTAAGCAAATTGCAGTGGCATTGGTCAGTTGAAGAGCCTTCACCGCAACCGCTCCTTTCCCGAGTGGAAAGGAGAGAAGTGTGATTGGCACAACTGCAGGGGCGTGGCGCAGCAGGCCAGCCGGACTTGGACGTCCGCCCATTCCGGGCGTGGATTGGACTGCGGGGTCGCAACGTAACCCGGGAGGCGTGGCCAGCGCTAATAAAGCCGAGGTCCGCCGCAGCAGCTGCAGTGAGTCCTGCCGCAGCTATATCTCCGGGTGGTTAGCGAGAGGCAGAGCTCGGCAGTTCCGTCCGCTACAACTGCAGCGTCTTCCCGCCGGGTGTCTCGCCGCAGCATCCAAAGAGGGGTCGGACGCTCACTCCCTCTGTCAGAAAAATGTGAGTTGACTCTGGTGGAGGGGCTGGACACCTCCTTACCAACTCACCCCCAGCGCCCGACTCTGCGGGACGGAAAATGGCGCATTGCAGCAGCTGCGGCTACGCGGGGAAGCACCGCCGCGCTGTCCGCGGGCGGGCCCACCCGGGAGGGGCAGCACCCTCTTCCTGCAACAGCCACGGCTGCACCTCGGGCCGGACAGGGAGACAGGGGTCCCACGTTCATGGCACCCTCACCTCTTGTCTGCGCGGCACTTGGTTCTTCTGGTCTCGGTGTAGTGAAACCTCAGGCGAAGGGGGCCATGGAAACAGACAGCGGGGCACTCAGAAGACCCTTTCCGGTCATCCGAGCCTGTTCTTAGAGCCAGCCCTGCAGCCTCTAGATGCATGTATGCGTCTCAACCGGAGTGAGACTTACCCCCTCATGGGAGGTGCAAAGCTCCAGAAACTTATTTGCCAGTTCTCTGGTGCCAGCTGCGCCCCTCTGTGAGACTGAGGGATGGTGGCATGGCATCGCGCGTTCATCCCATGACCACCCATCTAAGTAAGGGTTTATGTCATCAAATCTGAGACAAGTATTTGGAGGAGAACTGAGCATTGCCCCTCTCTTCAGTACACAGTTTAGTTTCTAGCCGTCTTCAGCATCGTTCCCTTCCCAAGTTCCCGAGGGAGCACGGTGGATAAATTAAGTACTTCTCTGTCAGGAGCACAGTGTATTTAGTAGAAATTTTTCCTTCTGATTACTACTAGCTGGAGCACTAGCCTGGTCCTAGATGTATTCCTGCTACTTCTCTTAGTAACAAATAAGAGGAAAGATTTACTGGTGTTACATAAGGGTTGTAACTATCCCTAGATATGTTATTGCTGAGTGCTTCCAACTCCCAACAAGTAGTAAGTGAAGTGAACCCCTCCAACATTGTATATAGCCATTTCAATTTTTCCTCTTCAATTTCTAAGTTTTAACTATAAGTGATAGTCTGTGCATGTTGGACAAATGCTAAGAGTTCAGTTTTTGTTTGGGGCGGAGGACCCTTCTTAGGTGACTGATTCTACATAGCCCCCTTGTGAGATGAACAGAAGACGATAGAGAAAGCATGGTGACTAGCAGGCAATCACGAGGTCTCTGACCTTAATCCTGTCATTGGTGCCACCATCCTGGAGTTCTTCCAACACTGGCTGCTCCCTACTCATTGAGATTTCTGCTGTCAGTCTAGCTAGCTCAGGAGCAGTGCAGGAGTCTTCAGGCTCCCTTAGCATTCTATCTTTCTTTCCTTTGCCTTGTCTGGGCCTTGCGGTAAATTGTGAAAGTGACCCTTAAATCGGGATAAGTCAGAATAATCTACTGGCAACAGCTTTTTGAGGAGTCATTTTTTTTTTTTTTTTTCTTGTCTGAAAGAAATTCACTTAGGGCAGAGGAACTCCTGAGTATTAGTTTTATGGTAATTAACCATGGCTCTGTGATGGTTTAACTTCTAGTGTGTTCTATGAAGTTCTACTTTTCTTTGACAAGTTTCTAAGGAACACTCTGCTCTCCAGCAAGTTGTAGAGATCCTCTGCCGTACAGAGAGTAGAGAAAATCTCATCCTTTAGGTTATGCTACTGGGGATTCTTTAATGGGTGAATTAGCTTTCATGTCTTGGAACATAGATGTGTACCTTGCTCTTATATTGAATTATTCCCTTCTAAGCCTAAGATACCCTGTAGTTGTAAGTGGTACTGAAAGAGGGAATAGTATCCATGTGCATACAGTACAGTAAACCCAAAATCGAGAGTTCTCTAAGGAATGTAGGGAACTAGGGGTGTTCCTTGAGCTTCTGCCAAATCTAGAAAAGGAAGGGACAGAAGGTGTATGATGCATGTACATTGAATACTATTTGTAGCATTTTTACTTCCTGTCTGTTCTCTTGGAACAGTTTCCATTACTAGTGCAATTGTTTTTGGCCCCAGATTCAATCTAAGTGAAACCACTTTGCCAAAAACAGTACAAAGAAACAGTCCTGACTTAGTCCATCTACATAGACTTTGCCATTGGTAAACTTCAAAGTTGTGCTTATAGCCATTGTGAACTACTGGTCACCGCATGAAACATACACGAATCCCCACAAGCAGTGTCTGTCAGTTCACTCTGCCTGTTATAATCATGCTTTGCAGTTGAGTTCATTGGCTTGTTTTGAGAATTTAGTCTTTTCTCCTGCTCTGGGTTAGGTTTTCCCATTTTGCTTCATATGAGGGCTTCTGGCAGCCAGAAAAATACCATTTAGGTCAAGAGTAGCACATTTATCCCTGTAGCCATTGTGCTAGAGTTTGGGTCAGGGGCTGTCCCCAAACAAGATCTTGTGATGACACTGAGCTCCAAGGTTCTTTCATCTTTTGCTTTTTGCCTCTCCATACTTGTAATTGCCAAGGGGCTAGGATCTCTTCCATTAACATAGCTCCCACCCACATTTGCTTTGGTGAGCATGCTTGCCATTCCTTTTTTCTCTTGGTTACCCTACGTACTTTGCATTTCTCAGGTCTGCTCCGGCTCAGCCACCCGCTGAAGGGGCGGAGGGGGCTGCCCCCGGTGGGGGTCCTCCTGGCCCTCCTCCCAACATGACCAGCAATAGGCGACTACAGCAGACCCAGGCACAAGTAGAGGAGGTAGGTGGAAAGATGTTTCACTGAGTTTCTAACTGTAGGAGTTCAGAAGCAAGGGAGCATCTTTTCCATTCTCATTCTCTCTCTCTCTCTCTCTCTCTCTCTCTCTCTCTCTCTCTCTCTCTCTCTCTCTTTCTTTCTCTCTCTCTCATAGGGAGATGGGTAAAAGGTCTAGGTGGATTTTTTGGGCTGGCTTAAGATGCCTTATGGGCAGGTCTGGTAAGGCAGGTGGAGCTGTGGGGATCAAGCTGCAGTGTCCTGCTCCTGACTGCCTTTGCATGAACAGGTGCTTAAACAACTGAACTAAGGGCAGGCCCCTAAAAGTTCTACGGTAGAGTGTCCCTTAATTACACAGGTCCAAACCTGTGATCCTCCAGATGTTCTTTCTTGTCTCTAGCAGGAAACTTAGCAGCTCTGTGCACCCCTTGCAGGTGGTGGACATCATGCGTGTGAATGTGGACAAGGTCCTGGAGAGGGACCAGAAACTGTCGGAGCTGGATGACCGAGCTGACGCCTTGCAGGCGGGAGCGTCGCAATTTGAGAGCAGTGCTGCCAAGCTAAAGAGGAAGTACTGGTGGAAAAACTGCAAGGTAAATTTCCTTGTCCTCTTTCTTTTCCTGGGCTTCTATTTGTAAAAGTCAAGAAAACCCCTGACCTCTACAGTCCTTCCCTCTAATGGTGCCACATCTCCGCCCTGCACGGTTCTTGGGAGGAGATGAAGTACCTGCTCTTGAGAGATGAATACCTGCATTGGCCACCAGGGTGGGCTAGAGTACTAAGAACCTCTCAGAGAAAGTACCCCCCCACTTCCCCACGGTTTAGAATGAGCAAGGCGCTTTTCCCTTTAGAAAAAAAGTCTCCTGCAAGAATTCTTCCATGGCTCTTCCTCAGACACACCCAACAGCAACACAACAGCTCAGGGTTAAAATATGTGCAACTTCTGAGAATGCACTAAATTCTTCACAATAAAAACCAAACCAACTGAATAAAGATCCAGAGTCTACCTTTCCATCAGAATTCCTTTTTAAGTCTCCAGGCAAAAGGAACTGAGCCAGAAAGAGCCAGCTGCCCACTCTGTGCTGTTCCTAAAGAGCTCCCTACACGGTGTGGGCTTTCACTCCCGTGGGAAGCAGAGGGTTGGGCCCTTCTCAGAGGCCTGCAGGTTTTCTGAGTGATGGGTAGCATCTTCCACTGTCCTGAGGATGAAGGGAGTTCTGTTACCACATCATGGTTCTGGTTCCTTTCCTCTTGTCCCGAGTCCATGGGCTCATATGTGGTCCGTGTTTCCTCAGATGATGATCATGCTGGGAGCTATCTGTGCCATCATCGTGGTAGTTATTGTAAGTAAGTATCGCTGAGGTTGCTGATGGGGTGAAGAGGTGGGAAGGTCCCGGAGTCTTCTCCCAGCCCTGCCTGCCTGCCTGCCTGCCTGGGGAGTGGGGCTGCTCTGACTGAGGTATGGAGACTGCTGCCGTGGGATTGTCATGGGCTTTGGGAGGGAGGAAGGGTTGAACTGGGCAACTTTCTTGGTGGACAGGCCTTACCCAGCTCTGAGGGAGCAGGGCTATGCCGTTTGTCACTGGCTTGGGTCAGAGGGAGACCGCGGGGCTGGGACATTTGCAACTGGAAGGCCTGAATGTCTGGTAACTTGATGTAATTTGCCCTCTTGTTTTCTCCTGTCTCTCTCTTTTCCATCTGAAACTTCCTGATTCCTGTGTCCAGTCTACTTTTTTACTTAAGAATGTGCCCTCCCTTACCTGTTCTGCATTGCCATCTGAACTCATGTCCTTCTCCTTCTGTTTGCTCTCTCAACCAACGTCCATCTGCCTTCCTCTATCCCAGCCTGGGCTTCTCCATCATTCATTACTCCTTTTTGGTTGCTGTCATTTGCACTTTGTTCCTCAACCCTAGAAATGCTGCTCATGGTGCAGTCTTGAAGTTACTATGTGAAGAGCAACAGCTGGTGCCCCTTCCCTCCCCACTTCTTATGTTCTTTCCTGTTTTTCCAAAGCCAGAAAGAGTCACTGGCCAAAGGCAGAGGCAGGGGAAAAGCTGAGCTAAAGAGCCCAAGATGCTGGCCAAGATGGTGGCAAAGGGATTGGTGTCCATGACATTTCCCAGAAAGGCCAGCTGCTGGCAGGAGGGGATTGTGCACAGATGGGAAAGTGTGGCTTGCCCTATGCCACCCCTATCGAAGCCTCAGAGGGCTGGGGGTCAGCAGGACTTGACACAGTACCCTTTTAGAAAGTCAAATCTGTTTTTTGCAGTTATTGCTAATCTGTTAGTTCAAGATTTTCTGTTTCTTCGAGGATCTTCCAGCCATTTACTTTGTTTCCTATAGGTCTGGAAAACGTCTTTATTGATTGTAAAAATACCGGGAGACTGTTTTAGAAACAGTTCCATTTGCTTCTACTAGGATGAGCTGTCTCTTCCTATTTTCTGCAGCATCCTGTGTTGTTCTTGAGGCACCAAGCAACTTCATCTGGCCGTTTTGGGCCTCTTAGTCACTTTTAATTCTTGGTGTTGGAAGAAGATACCTGTTACAGAGAAACAACAAGTTGAGGGCCTAATTTGAAAATAACAAGCTTACAGGAAGCAACTTCCTGCCCTCTCACAAAGGAAGGTCCAGTTCCTTACTCTCTATTGATGAAAGAATATGCGAGTGTTGGAGGCAAGCTCCTGAGACTTCATCGAACCCTTTCTTCTATGCCATCCCTGGTACTTGCTTAAGACAGGGATGAGGCAAGAGGTCCTTCCCAAGGCCTGGCTGATCCACAGGGTTTAGGGGGAGCCCAGCAGGCCCAATAGCTCAGTCTCAGGGTACAAGCAGTTTGATCAGCACTAGGTGTGTGTGTGTGTGTCACGGGGCCCTTGCACCAGAGCTGCCTGAGCATTCTTCCTGAAGTGCGTTCCCCTTCTGAGGCTCACCCTTCTCAGTCCATGCTGCCTCCCTTCTGTTCCTCCTGTTTGCATGTTTCGTTCATACAGACCATGCAGCCTGAGGATGGAGGCAGCTCAGCCTCTCCTGTGGGCTTTTTCTTTTTTTGGTGGTACATGGATTGAACCTAGGGCCTTCATGGTGAGGCCATTCCCAGCCCTTTTTGTAACTTTTGTTTTGAGAGTGTTACTGAGTTGCCCAGGTTGGGCTTGAACTTGTGATTCTCCTGCCTCAGTCTCCCAGAGTGCTGTGATTTACAGGTGTGTGCCACTTGCAGCCCCTGGGAGCTATTGCTGAGCTTTGGGGTAAGATAAGCCCCGGTGCTGGGGAAAGAGGGCAGGCTGAACTGGAAGGTGAATACCCTCAGCCTTGATGCCCTGTCCACTGGTCCATGAGCAGGCAGAGGCTGAAGCCACAGTGGGCTGGATCCGACACTCCTTTCCATGTAGCAGCATTTCATCGTGCAAACCATCCTTCCTTTCCCTTTGCCCGTTTCCTGCGCTCCCTTCGTCCTGCCCCAGAGTGGGAGTGAAGAGCTGGAAGAGCACAGTCAGTGCACCTCCCAGCATCCCTTCGAAGGTCTTCACTCTCCTCTGGCTCCTCCTTGCCTAATAATGTAGGGTCACCGCTGGAGAAGAACCACCACTGTCCTGGATGTGTCCCAAGCCTGGAGCAAACCTGCCCTCTTGGCCCACCCAGCCCTAGCACGGGAATATTTCCTGGGTTTCTGTCCCCGAGGCTCACTAGGTGTAGCTAGCTCTGTTCTTTTGGGGGTGTTTGGCCTTCTACTTTCTTTCTCACCTCCCCTGAACTTCTTCTATGTCTTTGCTGTTTCCTCTCCCTCCCACTCCCCAAGTGCATGAACAGATATGCAGCTAACACAGGACTCTGCAGTCAAATGAAGCCGAGCTCCCCACATCCCCTTCTTTGTTTTGCCGTGAGATGATGTGGGGTTTCCACTATGTGTCTGTCATTACCTTTTTGTCTTTTTTCCCAGCCCCAATCTCATACTTGTATAGAATAATAACAGTTGTACTTCCACCAAAGGCATGTGACATATTTACCAATTTCATGTATTCTGAAGAAAGGCAAAAAAAAAAAAAAAATACAAATTCCTACTACTCAACTGACTCAGTTATTGTTTGGGTTGGAGTCACAGGAGGGAGAGAAGGGCCTGTTGTTGCTTTAGCAAGTTCACGTGGCTGTGGGTGGGAAGGGCTGCTCACGTGTGCTGTGTGGTGGTGTGTTGGCAGAGGAAGTGGTCTGTGCTGGTGGCGTTTGTACCTGAAGCAGCCCAGCTCTGCAGGTGCTGGTGAGAGGAAGTGATGACAGGAAGGCAAGTGGGCATCTCCCACGGCAAACAGCTCCGACTTCCTCAGGCCTCTCCCCACTGCCTCCCTGCTGGTCCCAGACTACTTGTTCTGTCCCAGGGGATATGCCCAGAAGGCCTCACACATACAACTCCTTTCTCCATTGCCCTCACTGTCTGCTTAGGCAGCTCCACTCCTGACCCAGCACCCTCCGTATGAAGGAAGTTGCCCATCTTCCACAGTTGAGGGAGTGAAGATTTACAGGTTTCCTGCAATTCCCAGTAACCATCTGAAGGAGCAGGGCTACATGGAGCAGCAGAGACAGAGCTGGATTTGCCTCTGAGGACTGGTGTTTCACAACTTCCAACACTTTGCAAGTAGGAACACCTGTGACTTAGGATAGGCCTAAGTTGGGACCACCACAGAGAGACAGGAAAATAGAAAAGCTTTGCCTTAGTGGACACAAGGGTCTTTTATTTTGACAGAGTTCCGTTTGTGAGGGCTGGCCCTGTCCCAATCCTGTACCTATTATCCATCGTTCTGTCCTTTTCTTTTTTCCTACCACTTCAGATGTGGCCCTTTGACGTCAGCCCCACCCAGATGTTCTGGCTTCTTATGGCCCCTCATCTCATCTTCTCTGCCTTGCTCAGTGGCCCAAGGCACACAGTAAAGGAAGGTGGAGCAGAAGGAGAGCTGAGGCCCTCCCTTAGGTCTGGTGCTTCCTAAGGCCTTGCCCAGCTTTATTGCCGCACTGCTGGGGAACAAGACTGTGCTCAGCCTTTAGCATGGCTATTCCAAGTGCCTCAGGGTCTTGACAAACCTTGCTGAGGAAGCTAAAAGAAAATGGAACAAGATGGTATTAATTTAAGGTCATTCCAGCAGCAAGAGGCTATCTGGAGTGGTGGGGTAGCAGGGGCATCTGGATCACATGTCCGAGGTGCAACCCTGTCTGGGTGGGGTGGTGCTCAGCATGGGCTGATCCACAGGGCAGGTGGTCTGGAGCTGGAGCTCAGGGCTTTGGTGCTCACCTTTTCGTCTCTGAAGCCCCAGGAATAACAGTGCAAGAAGGAAGAGGCAGCTGGCAATGATGACGCCGTGGGCCATTTCCCACCCTATAGGGAGAATAGCATGGATGGGGTCAGCCCCTGTGCTGAGCAAGGTGCGTGCATGTGTGTGTGTGTGTGTGTGTGTGTGTGTGTGTGTGCATGCATGTGCACACCTGCGGAGAGCTAGGAGCTATGCACACAGGATTCATCACTCCTGTTATTCCACACTCACTCCTGAGAACTTGCTGGTGAGAGGTTTGGGGTCATCAATCACTGACGGTTAAACTGAACTTTACAAATGACCAAGGAACATTGATGCAAACTAAGGCAAAAGCCCCATTTTGGAGAAGCGCAATCTAGCGAGCAGCCTGTGATGCCTCATGTTCCTGAAAGTCTGCCTTTCAAGGTGTACATCCTTTCTTTTCTGTCCCCTCCCTGTTCTCTCTCTCTCTCTCTCTCTCTCTCTTTTTTTTTTTCGGAACCAGGGATTGAACTCAGGCCCTTGTGCTTGCCAGGCAAGCACTTATTCTACTGAGCCATCTCCCCGGCCCCATCCCTGTTCTCTTTCAGCAGCATCCAGTGGTTTTCAGGATGACATTCCAGTTTGAAGTCCGTTTGAGATGACAAGGTTTAAGCCTGGAAGAGGAATCAAATGGCCTGTTTTTCACATTTCCTCTTTTACATTTATTGGTAGGTGAGCTTGGGCACATTATTTAACATCTGTAAATGCCAGCTTCTGGGGGTTGTGCACTGTGGTGCACACTCAGTCCCTGCTCCTTGGGAAACTGAGGTGGAACATGACTTGAGCCCAGGAGTTCAGGGTCAACCTGAGCAATGTAGGGAGACTCCATCTCAAAAAGTAAATAAAATGGAAGATTATACTTAAAATGTAAGTGCTTAATATAGTACTTGATTCATATAAATGCTTAATAAACATAATTTCCCCTGAAGCTTCAAGCTACTTCCTTTTCTTCATATTCCTCTTGACTATAGCTGTACCAAAGTTATAGTTCCTTCAGTTTTTTTCCTCAGCTGTTTTACAATTTGGCCTTTCTGTGTGCTGTTGTTTCCATCTCACATGTCCCTTCCTCTCAGCTGGTCCCCTGGAGTGTCCCCCACTACCTCCCTAGTCGTCTCCAGTGGGGGTAGGATCAGGAGTCCTTTGCCTTGCTGTCCCGCAAGCAACTGCCCGACCCCCTGGTGCCTGGAGTAGACCATGTGGTGGAGGCTCTGGCCTTGGGAAAGCTAGGCAGGGCAGGAACATGAAGAGGCTGGGACTGGACAAAGTGTGGGGATGGCAGCATGAGGCCAGAGGCAGCCGGGGGCAGGAGCTCCAGGTGCCCAGTGGTGGGGGGGGCAAGGAGGACACGCCCAGTACCTGCTTTTGGGACAATCGTGGTGCTGACTTCGAGGGGCTGCTCCAGGGAGATGTGGGTGACCTGGCAGGTATAAGTGGCACCTGTTGGGCCGGGGTCCGCCGTCAGATAGGAAGATATACTGTAGGTGCCCGCCATGCTTTGCCTGAGACTGGAGAGGGAGGCACCAGAGACTTGGCTTGCAGCTCTGCTCCCCTCTTCTCGGATCCAGGTCACCACCACATCCAGAGGATAATAGCCAGTGATTTTGCAGGTGAGGGTGGGCAGTGGGGTGTTGTCCGATGTGCTCAGCACTACTTTGGGGGATGCTGGGGAAAGAATGAGGAATAAGATTCTTGAGGGGTCCAGCCGGGGTCAATAGGGGTGTGAGCCTGAAGCCACTGGGAAGGAGTGTGGAGGCTGTGGCTTCCTCAGTGTTGTTCCACAGAGTGGTGGTGTGAAGGGTGTCCCTAGATGGTGGCTGTGATTACCTTTTCTTGAAAAGTCACAGCAATGGCTTTCCTCTTTTTTGGAGCGGTGTAGTATTGGGGGTGGAATATCACTTATGCCGGGCAAGTGTTCTACCACTGAGCTATGCCCCCAAACCCTTGACTTGTCATCGGTATAAGCCAGCAGCTTTAAAGGAAATCAGAAGTAAACTATTCCTCCTGGTCAGAATTGCTTCCTCTACTCCTTGGTCTGTTGCTGCTGCTTAAGATGTAGTTCAAAAGGACTGGGGTGATTGCAGGTGGCCAGGCAGGCCAGGGCAGGGTGGGGCAGCAGGATTCTGGCGAGAGAGCTCCTGGTGAAGTTCTATGGGGACCCAGGAGACAGCTGTCTGATCCCACCTGTGCTTCTACAATGAAGATGGCATGTCGCTGGGGGCACGTGTTCTGCCTTGAGAAATGCCTCATTTCTGTATCACTGCCCTCATATTTTACATCAGGAAAACACTCCCAATAGGCATGTCCCTTCCCTCACCCAGGTGACCAAGCCCTGGACTCACCTTGGATATTGAGCTGAATGATTTGCTGAGCTTGGTACAGAGAGGTAGTGATCTGGCAAATGTAGGCCCCCTCATCCTTCAGACTGAGGCTGGGCAGGGTGAGGGAGGCGTCTCCGGCCCTGAGGAGCGGCTGGGGTGGCAGGGTAGCCCCCTCCCGTTTGGCCTGTCCCTGCCCTGTCTTCCACCTGTGTACCAGCTGGCCGCTGCCTCTGTGCTGCAGCCGCCAGTCCACACTGATGAGGTCCAGGCCTGGTGCCATCGAGAAGCCACAATCCAGGGAAGCTGAGGAGCCCAGCAGGACATTCAGGGACTGGGTCAGTGTTGTCACCTGGAACTCTACTGTGGGAACAAAAAGGGGTGATGTGGCCAGCTCACCTCATTTCCTATCAACTGAAGCCACAAAAAATTGGGGCCCTGGAGGAAGAACTCGGTGCATGGGGATTGCTCACACCTGAGACTGGTGAAAGGGATGGATCTCTCACCAGGAAGGATATGCAGGCAACATTATATCAACAGCATAGCAGATTCATGCTACTGCTGTTGGCCCTCAGGGAGGCACAGCCAGCGGAGCAGGCAAGGCTGCTGTGAGACTAGGATATGAGGTTAAAAAGTACATGCTGTTGGTATTTGACTCAGGCATGCTTGATCTAAATAAATCATGAGGAAAACAAATACACAGATAACACCACCTCACTGTTAGTTCACGTTGTTATTAAATTCTCTACATGCTGCGCCATGAGATCACTCCCCCAGCTTGGCTGGCTTCTGAGGTAATGGCTTTGTGAGAATGACGAGTGACCTTGTCCCTCGCTAGAGCCCTATTCATTTCCATATGGGAGCATTTGGGAGTGAAGTGTTGTGATAGCTGAAGTTTACTCCTGGAGAGAGCCGTATCTATTTGCATATTGCAGAGACAGAGGGGACAGGCAGAAGAGTAACAATTAGCGAATGTAGGTAAAGGGTCTACAGATATTATTCTACCATGTGTTTTGTAGGTCAGAAAAATCCAAAACTGCAGTAATACCAAACCATGTCTGGCTTACATTAGACACTGGGCACGTGTGTCTCTCTCCCTCTCCCTCTCTTTTTCCCTTTCTCCTCCTCCCTTTCTTCCTTTGACAGGGTCAGACTGCCTGTGGACTCACTATCCAACTTGAGTCCATGTTGGCCTCAAACTCAAGATCCTCCTGCCTCAGCCTTCTGAGGGCTGGAATTATAGGCATATGCTACCATGTCTACCTAGGATCTTTCTTTTCTGATGTGGCAGGATGCATTTAGTCTGGGCCTCAGAAAGGTTAGTGTTCTAGGACTTTGCAAGGATAGAAGAATATCCCACTTATCTTTGGTGTATGCTGCTGGCACATAGTTCTGGAGAAA